TGGGTTAGTTATCCCTGTTCCCATGTGCTGCTGGAGGCATTAACCGGCTTAGGGTTGGTTATCCCTGTTCCCATGTGCTGCTGGAGGCATTAACCGGCTTAGGGTTAGTTATCCCTGTTCCCATGTGCTGCTGGAGGCATTAACCGGCTTAGGGTTGGTTATCCCTGTTCCCATGTGCTGCTGGAGGCACTACCCAGCTTTGGGTTGGTTATCCCTGTTCCCATGTGCTGCTGGAGGCATTAACCGGCTTAGGGTTGGTTATCCCTGTTCCCTTGTGCTGCTGGAGGCACTAACTGGCTTTGGGTTAGTTATTGCGGTTCCCATTGGCCATGGCCAATAGGAACAGGGGCGTGACTAGGAATTCTGGGCCCCCTGACAAAATGTCACCTAGGGGCCTTTCACCCAATTTTATGTACTCAGGGACCCCTGTAAAGTGCTGGGCCCTCTGAATCTGCTATGGTATTCATGCTGTATTCATCTCTGTAGCTAGCAGAGTACTCATACCACTTCTGGTCCCTTGAGCATGGTGCTTATCCCCTTGATGCTGGCTGATCCTGTGCTTGATGGTGGCTGATCTGGTGCTTGACTCTGGCTGACCCTGTCTTTGATGCTGGCTGATTCTGTGCTTGATGCTGGCTGATCCTGTGCTTGATGCTGGCTGATCCGGTGCTTGACTCTGGCTGACCTTGTCTTTGATGCTGACTGATCCTGTGCTCTGACTCCAAAACCCACTCTCATCCTCCATATATATACACGTGTTTCTATACTTTTTATGGAAATCAAGAAAGGTTGTTTGACAACTACCCAAGTTCCCTCTCTATTATAGGTTCATTTTCTAACATGACTCTTTTTTGTTTTCTTCTGATATTTCTTTCTATTCTTGCCTGTTCTTCTGTTCCATTTACCACTCTTGCTATGTCATGCTTTCTTTCAGCGATTCTGCCACCCAGAGACTAATAGCACACTGTAAGCTTGCTGCGCATATTGTCACATACCACGTTCTTCTGTCCTTCTCCAGGTAGCATCATGCACGTGGAGGGATCTAATCCATCTCCCTTGTCCAAAGCCCAGCTGGAAACCGTTCTTTCCAAACCCACGGCAATAGGCTGTCACATCACGTGAGGATCACATTTTCGCTTGGAAACTATAGCCTGAGTCTGGAGTTAGTCAGTAGCTAAATCATTAGCTTGATGCCGTTAGCTGCCTAGTTCTTTTTCCATGGAACACAACTGCCATTGGTCCATCTCCTGTGGTCAAGGTGTGGTCAGGTTTCCCTATATTTCAGCACCTTGTTGACCTGAAGTGTGTACTGACTGCAATGACCTTGCTGACCTGCAGTGTGTAATAACTGCAATGACCTTGCTGACCTGCAGTGTGTAAT